CATACGGGAACATTTATATTCCTTTACTGGTGAAATTATGTCTCAAAGCTGCAGGCGTAAAATTGGGAATACACAATGTGCGCTCATCTAACCAAAGGACACAAAACATGTAACTGCAGGGCACTTTCACTGAGGCAATTTATGACATACGTAGTTTTTCCTTATATAGGATGTGAATTGGAAAATGGAAAACTTTTCTTTAATAATAAAATAAGATTGCACACTTAGATAACTCTGTGCTAAGTTACAAAAATTGCACTTTTTTCCCATCTAAGAGATCTTTATACTATTAAGGATATAGTTGAACCCAGAAAAATGGAACAAATAAAATAATTAAAAATGAAAGGTGGACCTGTGAAAACAGTACAAAAACAGTCCCAGTAAACTTGAGGAACCTCTGATTTAGGCCTAATGCTGGAGAGTTTAGTATCATTAATACACTCTTTTTTGTTGTTTTTTGCCGCACCTGCGGCAGAATTCTTAATTTTCCATGAGCACATCCTACTCGGTTTACTCAGAGTCAGAGTCAGGAGGCTGCCTAGGGGAATGGAAGTCACTGAGAAGTAAAGGACTGATGGAAGGGTAGCTGATGGTACAGGAGGGAGGAGAGACAAAAAAAAAACCCCACAAATTTTGTCTGATGCATCTCATCTGATTTGAGTAACTCCATGAGGAATTGTATCATTTTATTAATGAGAAAACTGTGGCTGAGAAAAACTGACTCACAATCTTATCCATTTTCTTTTACTCTGTGCTATCCTTGAGAAGATTAATTTCACATTTTGTGTAAAAACAGCATATAAAATTATATATCTGTATATTGACTATAATGATATAAAAAAGATCAAGTGAAAATATGAAAATAAATATGACTAAATGCTAATAAATTGTGGGTTTTGCGAGATGGGGGTAAAGGATGCCTTTTTTCTTATTCCTAGTTTTCTGTGTTTTCCATAATACATGACTGCTTTTCTACCATCAGCAGCAATAACAGCAACAAAAGGCATATATTGCTTTAAAAGGAAAGCTGCCTTTGTCTCTTGGGCTACCAACATTCCTCTAGGAAGGTAGAAGTCTTTTAAGAAATTTATGTAAACAAAGACTGTTTGGCATTTCAAAGGTTTTTTAAGCCAAACAAAATCCATAATGAAAATTTTGCCATAAACTTTTGGAGTTGCTACTTGGACTATGTTGCACAGTTTCCCACCAGATATACTGTAAAAAACAAACAAAAAAGTGTGTTAGTGTGACTCAACTGAAAATGAAACTGATAGCCTGATCTGTAAAATATTCTGCATACCCCGTATCCTATGGAAATAATATATTTGAATTGAATGTGTTTATCCATAGTGTAGTCCTTTACCAAGATATTTCTGCGTCTCCAAAATACTGAAAGATCCAATCAATTCCTTTGATATATGCAGTCAATGATAAAGATATTTTATCTACACAATGCTGAACACCTAAACTGACTGACAGAGAGAGATCTTTTGGGAGTGTGTAGAGCTGAAATGGGAAAAATGTGACCATTTAAACCATGTCTCCATTATCATCACAGCCAATTGTAAAGCAAAAGATTTCGTCAATCAGATAATTCTTTTGTCTACACAATTCCAAGCCATTTTTCTGAGTAATTTGTTTCATTGAATTTACCAAATATTTAGTTGGTTTCCTAAAACATAATTGAATCTGAATAATAGGAAGAAAAAAGATTCTGGTCTGAATTTTCTGCAGAGGGGATATAAGTTAAAAGCAAACAAATGAACGAACAAAAACCCCACACTTGTCCCTTACATATAAATACTCTCTTATTTCTTCTTAAAAAGTAGTTCTTTTAGGCTATGCACATTTGACTTTCATTACTTGGTTAGAAAGACCTGGTCCAGACAGAATATTTATTAAAATGTACATTAAAATTGCCTGAAAGAAAAAACATGCAGAGAAAATATTAGAATAATAGTCCTTGGGTTATAGGAGGTGGAATTAGAACCTTTGGAAGGTTTAAGAAAAGAACCGTTTCAGAAGAGAAGAGCCAGATCAAAGGGTCACTGATTCTGGACAAAACTGACTCCCCTTCATGGCTCTCATTCCATTCATTGGAGGCACTACTGTTCTTCCAACTCGGAACCCTGAAGCCACATTGAATTGTTCCCTCTTCATCCTTTGTATCTGATATGTTCACATCTCACCCTCTCTTTCTTTGAAAGCTCTCTCTGGTTCACACCTTACTTTACATTCTCCTGATAGAGAGTCGTACTACTTCATGCCTGAATTACTACCAACAACTTCCAAAGTGGTCCCTCTGCCACAAGTCTCTCAACCTCCAATCCTGCCTGGTCCACAGCTGTCAGATTTATTGTCCCCAAACATCACTTTCCTCATTGCTGCCGCCTGCTCATCACTCACTTTCTTCATTGTCCCTGCACTAAGTTCAAACTCCTTGCTCTGCCTGATAGCTGGGACTCTCTACAGCCCTTTCCCCTCATTCTCCTTCTCTCTCTCTCTCTCTCTCTCTCTCTCTCTCTCTCTCTCACACACACACACACACACATCAATCCAATCTTACTTTTTGCTGTTCCCCAAAGACTTCATTTTAGTCAACCAAATCACTACATACTATAAAAATCCCCTTCCTGACCCCTTCTCCAAATCCATACCATTCTCATCCCAGCCATGTCCTCTCTGTGTAAAGTGCTGTCCCTCTTGACTTTTACTTTCCAAATTATCCTCATCCTTCCAGAGCCTTCTAAAATGCCACCTCTTCCATGAAGGCTTCTCTGATCTCTCTAGACCCACAATTTCCTTTCTTTTCTCTGAACTCTCCTCCTATCTATAATCAAGACTGAATTACATGACATATTACTTCAATACACTTCTTTTGATTTATATGGCATCCCTTGTTACTCAAGGAGGGTGTTATTGACATTTGTAACAGGGCACTTCATTGTGCAGGGCTGTCTAGCACATTTCAGGTCATTTGGCATCCCAGGCTCCTGATGCTAAGTGACAGGGACGTTATTGTGACAACCCCAAATGCTCTGAATACAATTCCAAATGCCCTAATTATTAAAAAGTTCCTTGGAGAAGTTGCTATATCATATACACACCTGCTCAACAAACGATCTTTGTTTAAATGGTGAATGCATATTTTAAAGAATAAATATTTCCCTTACAGTTGCCAACATATTAAAAAAACTCAGAATGACACTAATTAAACATTCAGATGAACCAACACTCTATTTTAGGTGTTTTTCATAAGGTATTTCATTAAACCCTCACACCAGCCCTGGTTGTTATTTATCCTTATCCTTAAAGATGAGGAAACTGAGGCTCAGAGAGTTCTGCTTACCCAAGGTCACACATCCAAGCTTGATTAGAGCCCTGGCCTTTTAAAGCCCAGGGTGTTTGGACTCAAATCTTTGGCTTTTTCTCTTACCACTCAGCCTCTATAAGGGCAGCCTATTTGTAACAGCTTTGAAATAAGAGTGTGAACGTGTAACACAATTAGCAATTTGGAGCACATTATTAATGCTGATAGGTGCTAATGACTATAATTGAAAGGGAAGATATTAGACCAGACAAACAATTTTTTAGAATTTAAAACAAGGACCTAAATTAGAGTCTAATGAATGAATCTAGTCCTTGACCTTCTTTGCTACAGACATTACCCCATGTTTAGTCTCTAACTGAGAGGTACGTATTCTTTACTCTCTTATTGTATTCTTTACTCTCTTAATGTTTGTCTTGGCAGATGGCCAACAGATCTCTCTAAGTTTCCCTTAATCAAGTTTTGGGTAATAGATGCCCAATACAAGGCCCAGTAAATATGCCTTGTATTAGGTAGTACTGCTAGACTCGAACAACAGAAATCTAAGAGCTGGCAATAGTTGCTCAACTCTTCCCTAGTTGCTCAAGTCTTTTCTATCACCTGGGCATCTTTAATACTAAATGTTATATAAATCAAGTATCATGGTATCATTTAAAATGTTGTATATATTTCTTTCTAGTGACAGTTCCTTATTCACTTCATGCATGTCTAACACACCTACATTTATTAGTAACTTATTTCACTATGTGCCCAATGTCCAATTACAGTTCTTCATATTTCAGCTGATCTAGAGTTTAGGAAGTGATAGTGTGGATGATTCATGTGCTTACTTTAAAAAGTACACTCATGGGCTTCCCTGGTGGCGCAGTGGTTAAGAATCTGCCTGCCGATGCAGGGGACACGGGTTCGTGCACCGGTCCGGGAGGATCCCACATGCCGCGGAGCGGCCAGGCCCATGAGCCAGGGCCACTGAGCCTGCGCGTCCGAAGCCTGTGCTCCGCAACGGGAGAGGCCACAACAATGAGAGGCAAAGGCTAAGACCAAGCTCAATTTGTTGCAAATAATATTGAATTTTTTTTAAATGGAAGTCCTGGTGTTAGCCTTTTATTAGAACATTTCCTGAGCAAAGTGCATTTTGAACTGCTACATGCTGGGACACTTTGTAGGGAGGTGGAAGAGAAGGTAATAGAATCTTTCTCCACTAAGACTAAAAAAAAGGAAAAAGTCAGTAACCCCTCTCAGTTTCATTACTGTTTTGACTCATCTTTTCTCAAACTATCTTGTCAAATATTTGTCAGACAATAGAATTCTTAAAAATATCCAGCTGCTCCCTATAGAAGCCAGAAATGGTCTAAATATTTTGATAACATTTCCCAGAGAGGCGCAAACATTTTAAAGGTGGAATTCTAGGGTTTTTGTTATATCTCCTTATATCCTAATAGCACGTGAACTGGTATCTGCTGATGTGCTATCAACATTTTCCCATCTATTTTTAGATCTTCAGTTGTTTTAGAGGTGGATTTAATATGTAAAGCAGAAGCTTACACTGTGACACATTTGCATGATTGTGTTTTAGTTTTACCATTAGCTAAGTAGGGCAAAGTTGATCCCATCTCACAGGGAACTCTCTCCCACATTTCCTCTGTGGACTTGGAGGTTCAGATTTGCTTACCTGCTTCCTTGAAGATACTGTGCTGTTGAAATATCTACTAGAGGTCTTTGAATTCAAATTCTTGGTCTGATGGGTTGAGTCATTTTTCCATGTCTTAGAGTTTTCTTTAGGATCTGAAGGAATGGGATTTAAGAAGAGGATCCTAGCTATGAATCCATAGAGGACAGTGGCCAGGATCATTGGAACAACATAAAAGACACCAAAGTCCATTAGGTAAATAGGTGAGTAGTAATTCCTGGAGATCTTGTAGCCACAGGACACCACAATAGCATCTTTATAGGTGCTAATATTGAGATCCAGCAAGAAGAACCACAGCATACAGTAAATGGATGTGAAAGCCCAGACAAAGATGATGATCTTTTTGGCTCTGGAAAATGTGCAGAGAAACTGGGCTTTGATGGGGTGACAGATTGCTATGTACCTCTCAATGGTAAATGCTGTGATTGAACAAGAGGATGCATTAATGCCCAAGTACTGGAGGTAAGTGATGCAGAGGCATCCAACGTAGCCATAAACCCAGGAACCATAGATACTGTCCGTTATGTTGGGGAGGCCTGCAGCCACCAGGACCATGAGATCAGCTACTGCTAGACTCACCAGGTAGCAGTTTGTGGGCGTCCTCATGTGCTTGGTTCTCATGACCACCAGGACTACCATGATGTTGCCCACGATGCCCAGACCACAAATAATGAGCACAAGTAAGATGGTGACCACTTGGTATTCTAGGGCCACCATGGCTCGAGGCTGAAGCTGGGTTTGGTTCAGTTCACTTACTGTCTCGTTTTCCATCTTTAGTGGCTTGAGGTTTCTCTGAAACACTTCTCAACACATCTTCTTGCCAGCGCCCTGCCTTTATCACAGTGGTTCTCTCCCCCTGTGAAGAATTACAATTCATATTCATTCACAGCATCACCAATTCTGATCAAGTCACAGTCACTTACAGGTAATTCTCCTCTCCTTTCACCTCCCATTTTTCCGCAGTAATAGGGCTCATATGTACTCCCTGAAACTCCTTTTATTGCAACTCTAGTGTAGGATGGAATAACTGTTTTGACTACCTTACCATAAGAGGGACCGGTTTTTTTCTTAATGGAGAAAAATGCTCAAGAAAAGAGACACAGAAAATGCTCCTTGTTTTGAAAGAGTGCTCAATGGAAAAAAAAAAAAAGAAACAATATCTGCTACCTGAAAAATAAATACAAAGGCATCTCTCAGATGCTTGGGAAAAGTACAATGGAGAAGAAAAAGATACGAGGGGGGAAAAAGCCAAGAGCCTCAATGATCAAGCTTGACAGAAAATGAGCATCTGCCTCCTCTGCTCTCAAAGGGTGAGATCCCTTTGCTACAAAATAGCAAGCCTTTGAACCTACCTCTCCCCATGCCCTCTGCCCTGCAGACCCAACAGAGAACAATTTCTTCTCTTACCTTTTCCTCTGTAGCGTTGCCTGCTTTTTCCAGGTAGATGAGGCAGTATTAAGCGTGAGTTTCCAACGCTGCAGAAAACCTCGTCTACTTTGTTTGACAGGGAGACTACTTAGCAGTGCTCTGTCTTCAGAACTGCGGTTCTTCTAAACCCTTGCAGCCTTTCCAACTGATGACAGACCATACAGCCGCAGCAGAAGCAGCAGCAGAAGCAGCAGCAGAGAGCCTGTCAAATCGTAGATCGTCCCCTAATGAGAACATGCTCGCTCTCTGTCTCCCCCCGCCCCCCTCCCACACACGCGCAAACACACACACTCACAATGGCAAATGCCAGTCAGTCCTCACTGATTCATAATCTTCTCCCCTTGAAGGATTTACTTTTAAATGTGCTAGTGATACAGTTCTAATCTGGAAGGCTGAAATCACCAGCAAGGGGTCCAGAGGCAGCTGGTCTTATAGTTGTTTAGAGTCTAAGTTCTACAGCAACTCCAGTACCTGAGGCAGCCCTGAAATATATTTACACTCCCTGTTTGATAGGACTTGGGGGCGGCAAATCCTTCTCAGTCCAGACACAGCCCTTGAAGCTTGAGATATGTGACTGAGCTGAAATCAACTTCTTTCCCTACTAGGGAAACCCTTAGACTATTTCTCCAGTGAACCAGTGAAACTGACTCCCTCTTCTCATATTATATGAATGGAAAATGAGTTGAAATGGATTTTAAACCATTTCAGCTGCAATCTTCTGAGGCTTATGAAGATTATTTTTTAAAAACCTGTTGGAGCTAAGAACATCAATTTAAACCCACATATGATCTGTGGACTTTGTTTTTCACCTCTGGCTCTGCGTCACTTACTAGGATCTCTCTAACTGCTCTGGACGCCTCTCCCCTCTTCACCCACCCTGTGGACTGCCAACCAACATGTAGCCCCCAGCAATGTTTTGTGTCAATTTATCTCTAGGTGGAAATCTAAACCAGGGCCACTCTGGTAACTGCCTCTGAAACAAAACTTTATAAACAATCTTTTTTAGGAAAGTGTACTTCGGCTTGATTTTTATTTCTCTGAAGTAGCCCATGGGCAAATCTTTATACTTTTTAATGGGATCTCAGAAAATATGTCTTTCTTCTCCAGGCACCAACTGAATACACCAAATGTTAATGTTTGTCTGCTTTTATTTCAGACTGACAACGAATAACAGCCCTTAACTTAATGCCCTATAGAGTGAACAGGTTGATTCTCTACTCTAAGAAGTTTAGATGTTCTTTTTTCTAGAAGATGTCAATGAAGAATAGATTCGGTGTAGACAGGACCATGAAGGAATCAGAGTCACGTTCAAGGCTAGGTAACAATGGGATGAAGGCGAAGCTTGGATCGTATTGAGTGAATTCCACCCTCTGAACCATCGAGGGCTCCTTGAGTATCTACTTCTCCTTCTAAATCAACCAGAGTTACAAATTAATGACCCATGACTCAGATTCAGGCTTCAGAAATGTATTGTTTGGCCTGCACAATGTAGGCACAAAGGTAGACTATCGTCTGTCTACCTTTCAATATTGAGAGATTGTATAGTAAATCTGGATTTCTGCCTCTCATAAACATGGAAAGATCTGGCAACCAAGAGTCCATATTCCTGCTAGAAATAATCATCTGAAGCTGAGTAGTGGTTGTGAGTAGCAGTCTGTGGGGGGACAGGATGTGTCCTCTCCTCTTTTCCTCCCTCTTTTCTGTCACACAGGCCAGCTTCACTCAGTAATCCTGCACACCTGGCCTCTGTGAGTCTTGACTCTTGTATCACATGCAGTTCCTGAGAGAGACAGTGGAGGGTACCAGCCAGATACAAACTCTTTTACCCTGAATAGGATTTCTGCCCACCTTCTAGTTTGTTCCCTCAACTGGTTTAGCAGATTGGGTGCCAGCTTTACTCCTCTCCCTGCCCTAGAGGACAGAGATTACTCTGAACACCTTGTTTCTGGTCGAGTCCTCTGCATTTTGGAATGAAAAGTGCTTTCTAAGGTGAAAGCATTGCCTCCCTACCCCATCCCAACCCCACCACCTCCAATCTGAAAGGCCTCTTCAAAAGTCACACTTCATAAAGCACATCTTCCCCTCTCATTATCCCCAGGATTTTCGTCAGCTTTCAGGCCTTCTGAAGAGACCTTATTTTAAGTCTTGGGTAGTAAACATGAGGGGAGAGAACATCTACAGTGCTACCTGCCCTGGCAATTCCACCTCCCCCCAAATCTTAGCACATTCTTCAGCATTTCTATGTAAGGACACCATTCTGAGTCTTCAGTTTCGTTGCCTTGGGGCTGGGAAACCATTTCTCCAGGCTTCTTCTCCCCTCCCCTGCCCCCCTTAGGAACAGGATTGGCCTCAGCTTCTGGGCCTATCTGCTGCCTTCCTTCTACTTCCTATTAGCTCTTCTGCTTTCCTTTGAGCTCTGTTGGGCTTAGGGAATCTTAGTTTTTATTTCCCAGCTCTTCAGTTTTTTCTTGTGATTTTTTTTTTTTTTTTTTTTGCTTCTGAGAGAGCATTTGCCTTTTTTCCCCTTTCTTCCTCTCCCAACATAACAATTGTGGTAACAGAATGCGACTGCTGATTTACTGCTGCAGACTGCTGCAGTCTTCATTCTTTTAGCACTTAATTGTTAAGCTCTCCCTATGTACCAGGCATCTAGTATATAACATTTTGTTTTTACCTTCAGATAGGTCATGGTGTATTGGGAGAAGCAGACTTATGAACAGTTACAAATATGCATAGATATGTTGAGAGGGCTTAGGTTGTGAAGGGGAAAGCATTTGTGGGCAGTAGGCACAACAGACGGAGGGGCCAGTGAGGGCTTCCGCGGCAAGGTCACATCTGAGAACAGTCTTGAAGAAAAGTATAGTTTCTTTTTGAAGGGTGGGATGAGTGAAGATATTCTGACTGGAGGAGATAGAATATATAAGGCCCACCTGTGTAAAGTGGCAAGGATTGTGGGGGTAATTTTCTGGTTCTGCTTTGGCTGTGAGGCGTATGAGCTGGTGACCGCGAGGCAGCTTTCAGAGTAATGAGCGCTCCTTTCTGCTCTGGCTCCTCCTTCCCTCTCCTTTAGCTAGTTCTTTCCTCTCTAGAGAGTACAAACTTCTGCTTTCACCATCCCAGACTTGCCTGTCCCTTATGGTCCTGTCTGTTTTCAAGCTAATTTATGCTCTTTGCAAAATTATATTTTCAAAGTAACTGTGATTTCATAAGGTAGGTTTTTTATTTGTAAAACTCAATCAGATAATATCTAATAAATGCTCCCTAAGTGTAAAGAGCTGCACAGAAATGGACCTAGAGTCTGTCATACAGAGTGAAGTAGGTCAGAAAGAGAAAAACAAATACCGTATGCTAACACATATATATGGAATCTAAGAAAAAAAAATGTCATGAAGAACCTAGGGGTAAGACGGGAATAAAGACACAGACCTACTAGAGAATAGACTTGAGGATATGGGGAGGGGGCAGGGTAAGCAGTGACAAAGCGAGAGAGAGGCATGGACTTATATACACTACCAAACGTAAGGTAGATGGCTAGTGGGAAGCAGCCGCATAGCACAGGGAGATCAGCTTGGTGCTTTGTGACCACCTAGAGGGGTGGGATAGGGAGGGTGGGAGGGAGACGCAAGAGGGAGGGGAAATGGGGTTATATGTATATGTGTAGCTGATTCACTTTGTTATAAAGCAGAAACTAACACACCATTGTAAAGCAATTATATCCCAATAAAGATGTTAAAAAAAAAAAAGAAATAGTGTACAACTAGATTACACTTTACATTTTGGGTTGAGATTTTTTTTTCTCACAATAATATCTTGAATTCTAACCAACTGTGACTTCTATATCTTTTGAGTAATTCCGACTAGAGAGAAATGCATCCTTTGAAAATAGTTCAGTGGCGTCTGTTTTGAAAAAAGGTTGCTAAGTCATGGTTATAGCATGTAGATGGTGCACGAACTTCTCACTGCCCACTTTCAGTTTTGCTCCATTTCCTCTGCCCTTTAGCCAGGCCTTCTCAGTCGTGTGCCACTTGGCTAGCATCAATAAGAATGAGCATCACACTTACAGGCTCCTTTGTAAGAACGCCCTTGGACTCCAAGCTGGGACTCTTTTTTTTTTTTTGGCCTGGCCTCAGACTTGACCCTCAAGCTTCGGGAAAGATTTAGCACTTCTGCTTCCCACTCTTGGCATTCCCACCCAGAGAGCTTGCTCTTGGTATCTGGCTTTCCCTTTCTTAGTTACCCCAGGAAATCATCTGCTTGGCCAAGTCTCTGTCCCTGAGACACCGTGGCTGACATGATTTTACACAAGAGGAATTCTACAAGAATTCTACATAAGAGGAATTCAGGAAAGCCCTACCCTGGTCTCTGAAGGTGATCTTAGCTGTCTAGGTAGTAGCTGGCTATCAGCTGGTTGTCATGAACACTTTAGTAGAAAGATGATTATTTATGCTATCAGCATTTCTCAAACGTTAGCGTGCATCTGGATCTCCAGGAGAGCTTGTTAAAACCGTCCCCAAATTGCTGTTTCAGTAGCCCTAGGGTGGGACCTGAGTATACGCATTTCTCATAAACTCCAGGTGATGCTGATGCTGCTTGTCTGTGGACCACACTTCGAACAACCTTGTACTATATGATCTAGCTCAGCGGTTCTGGTGTGGGAGGTGGGAGCAATGATGAATCAGAATCACCTAGAGAAAGTTTTAAAAATTTACCTATCAGTTTAGCCCTCCTAAGTATTTTGGGTTTTGGTATATGTCCTCAGATTGGACTAGGACCTGAGAAAGAGAGTGGGGCTCTGGACAAAAGCAATTGACTTGCTCTCCTCGGTATCTATCACTCTTTTTCATCTCTACTATCATACCTGGAGCTTGGCTTGGCAGGTGGGGGATTGCTGCGAAAGAGAATATCTATGGTACTGTGGTCAAGTGGCACTGGGGTCAGAGATACTGTAGAGCATCCAGCTAGGTCAGCGGTTTGCAGGACCCAGACCATGGTCAGGAGAGGGCAAAATTTAAGGGGGTGCCCAAAACCTCAGTAATTTATACCATCAATATTTTAATGCAATATTTTTTAAATTAAAGTTTATGCAAAAAAGTCTATGATGAATACAATATCAACTTTTTAAATAAAGACAGCATCAATATTATGAATTTTCCCTTTCCGTCCCTTGTTGAATTTCAGAATCGTCTGGGGAGTTTTAAAAAATATAGATAGTTAGGTCCCTTTCCCAGATATTCTTATTTAATTAGTCAGGAAGTGAAGCCTAACCTTTGGTATGTACAGTGATGATTAAGAACCACTGAGCTACACCAACCAATGTTGGTCTCTGGAGGTGAGGGAGTGGTGGTATGTGGGCGTCCAGGCTGCGGGAGGGCCAGGGAGGTGAGTAAACTAGGTGCGGGTAACCCACCCAGATTTGGAAAGGTGACAACAGAAAATGTTGGCAACAGAACACTAGCACAGACTCTGGTTCCTGAGAAAAATTATATAACTATACAGGTTTCTAGATTTAGAAGAGCAGAGTGAGGTACAGCCTATCGAGTTGAGATTCTGACACAGAAACCACAGAAGACTGGGTCACTGGAACTGGGATAGAAGGTTTGGGTTCTGGAAGTAGTAAACAAAGTCAACTCAGGATTTGATGCTAAGTCACCTAGATACTGAACTAAGTATCCTTCAAAATTTCCCTGTTCAGATGTAAGCTTGGTCACAGAGCTTTGAGTAAAAGAAAGCATTTGGCAAACATTATAGAAAAGGTGTCAAAATTCATTTTCGCTGAAATTTAAATGTTAGCTAGAGAAAACTGTTGGCTGTTGATCAACAAAGAAAAATACTTTATGAAATGGGATTATGAAGTTGTGTTTGGGCTTATTGGAAAAGGTACAGAACCTGAAAGGTAAATAAGTTGTACAGTAATATTGTATATTTTGGGCAAAAAGTGCCCTTCCTTTCTATTTCTCAACCATATATACTCTTATTTTTCCATTCCCTAGTGTCCACATTTCTGGAGAAAATAAGATCTTAGATTTAAAAATGAAGTACAGTAGAAGTCAACCTAAAAATATTTTAAAATGAAAAAGTAGAAACATATATACATAGCTTCTTACCCTCTGCAGTCTGTAGCATTTGTTATCTGGTTGGGTGAAGCATGTTCAGGAAGTGTTAACACCAGTTACAGAAGTTTCCCCAAAGTGTCATGACCTACACAAAAGATTGAAGAATAAGAATTTTAATCAAAACTTCTGAGCTCATAAATCAACTATACTTCAATTAAAAATAAATAAATAAATAAATAAAAAGAAAAAACTTCTGAGCTTCTGATTATTTTGATTTATTGCATGTTTTATGGAACACTAAATTTATTTTTAAAAATTCATATAATATTAAAAAGTTACTGTAATTTAGTTATTATAAAATTCCATTTTGCAAGCTGAACATGGCTGACTCTGGCTGCTAGGAATTTCAAGTCCGAATTTGTATCCTTACATAAATGGTTGTGTAAGACTTTATCAATAAAATGTTTTTTTTGCTTACTAAGTCTATCAACTTTGTATTTGACCTTCAGTTCCTCCTCTGCTCTTATTTATTATGTCAGACACACAGATGCAGACACATAACACTGCTTCCCAGATATGTATGTATCATTTAAAAAATCAATTTTATCGAGGTACAATTTACATAAAATAAATTCACTTTAAATGTAGAGTTTTGTGAGTTATAGCAAATACATATAACTTTGTAGCCATGACCACAATTAAGATACAGAAAACTTCCATCGTCCTAAAATGTTTCCTGTGTTCCTTCCCATGCAATTCTGTATTCCCCGAACAATTCTATGTTCAGGTAAATGTTGCTCAGCTTTCTATCTCTAGACTATATTTATCTTTTGAAGAGTTTCAAATAAGTGGAATTATATAGTACGCACTCCTATGCACACATAAATCAGCATAATGTTTTTTATATTGACCCATTTTGTTGCCTGAATCAGTAGTTTGTTCCCTTTTATTGCTGCACAACATTCCAGCGTATGGCTATACGGATATATCATATTTTATCCAATCGCCTGTTGGTGGATATCTCACTTGTTTTCAGGTTTTGGTTAATATGAGTGAAACTTCTATAAATATGCATGCAAATACAATGTCTGTAAAAACATTCTGCCATTTTTCTTGGATAAGAATTACCAAATTCCAAGCGTGAAAACTGTTGGGACATAAATTTAGTGTATGCTTACATTTTTAAGAAATCACCAAAATGTTTTCCAAAATGATTGCACCATTTTCATACAAATTTACATAATGTTTTGTTTTCATAGAAACCTACATAATGGCTACATATAAAAAATTCAAAGCAGAAAGTAACTGTACACATTTAGGGTGAAGTCTGCTTTATGTATTTGTCCCCCAGCATGTAGCAGAGAGAATGCAGAGTATACAGAAAAGGCAGTTCGTGAACAACATGAATTTGTTGTATGAATGAGTGAATTAATTTTCCCAAATGATTGCCTTAAACTTAATTCATAGAACAGATACGCTGAGTAAATGACATAATATATATCAAGCACTCAGTCCAGTACTTGGCACATAATAAAAGTTTAGTATATTTATTATTCTATAAACACAATGTGTCCATGGAAAATAAAACTGGTATTATTAAATTTGCTAAAACACCATATACCACCTTTAAAATTTTTAAGTTATAAAATATGTCTTGCTGAATCCAATGGGGTTTTTTAGTGGTTTGGCTAAGATATATCTCTGTGGAGATCCTAGTGCCGTATCTCTCTTATTCTTCTAAAACCCAGTAAATGTGAATTATAACATTAAATGTTTTCATGCCTCCATAATTGTTTATTAATTAATTAACAAAATACAAGCATTTGTTCATTCACCATAATTATGTTCATAATGAATGAGGGAATTTGTAGAACTGAAATTCTTACTGATGCCTTCGAAATTACAATTGTGATACGAAACGTTGAAAAAAATGGCTTGTTTTAGTTGTCAGGAATTGTTGGCTTACATAGTATGCTAAGACAGAAAGGAGAGCACAGAATACTGAAACTGTACATATTTAAAAAAAAAAAGAAAAAGGAAAATGAAGACAGTAAGTAGTTAAGAATAAAATCCGGTCACTTAATTATTAGATTGTAGTGGCAGCTGACTATTTGGTGTTACTGATGAAATCATCCAAGCACTGATGTGCAGAAGGGATGCATCTCCCTGAGGAAATGTTTTCGGATCCCCGCACAGGTGGGCCAAACCCTTGGAGAAGGTGGGTGTGGCTTGTTGGGAGTGACGGTGATAGGAAACAGGGGTTTGTTTGAAGGAGATAAGTAAGATCTGCCAAAATCAAAA